ATGTAAATAGAATACAATAGCTGTAGCTATTAGCAGATGTAATTGGTAATATGATGATATGAAGCGTATGATGATAGAGATATTCTTTCTATGTTTTCTTTTCTTTGTCGATAATTACCGAAACGACTGGACGAGCAGAAATTAGTATAAAGGAAAAGCTCAAGAAGAAGAAAATGTTAGATGAAGCACGAGAGAAGAGAAAAAATTCACTCGCTTCTTTTTACTTCGTCAATTCTAGCTCGTCAGTACTCGTCGACTTACCTTCTTACGAATGACAGACTATAAAGCCAAAGTCGGTCTTATTAAAAAAATTGAGTTATATGTTATTTTCTTTTCTCGTTCTTTGTAAAATATATTGTTCATTTCATGTATCATTGTCTAATGATCAATAATATCATGTTTTTTTCAACTTAAAACATCTTTATTTCGTCTAAACATAAATGTATGATGAATAATTTGATTTTTTTTTCTCACATTAGAAAACTTCCTTCTGTTGCTGTGCACATCTTGACAGAGAACAATACCGATAGCAACAAAACACAGCAGTCTGACTCTACAATTTGACTGTTTTTTGTTGTATATATAAACGCGCGCGCGAAAAAAAAAAAGAAAAAGAATATTTCCATAAATGTTGCCGTTTTGAATCTGTTCCATTTAACACAGTGTTGTGCGTGTGTGTGTGCAACAGTCAGTGCAAGCATCCTTTACTTCTATACACGCATCTATACAAGAGAGAAAACGACATCGTCGACGACGCGACAATATTACAGAAAAAGAAAAGAGAAGAAAAAAAAAGAAGACGAAGAAGAAGAAGAAGAAGAAAAATATAAAAGTCGTACTAGTAACACAACGATCATCATCATCATTACTATCAATTTAGTAATTGAATATGAACAAATCGAACCATTTCGATTTGTTATCATCAAATATTAAACCGGAAAATTCATCTATGACAACAGTTAATATACTTGGTCGCCTTCGTATAGCAACTGAACAAGTTCGAAAAGTTCAATCAAGTTTAGCTAAAGATGGTAAATGACAATCACTAGTCTCTCTTTTTTTTTCTTCTTTTTCAATTTTCCATATTAATTGAAAAAAAACAAATCCTTAAGACAGGAAAAGATTATCTATCTAATCCATCTATTGAAAATCAAATTAAAAAAAGCTATGAAGATTTTTCTTTTGAATTTGCTGTTAGCTTTTTTTTAGGTCTATCTGACCAAGTGGAAATGCTAGGTAAAGTTGGCAAAGAACTCGATGGTATGTCAATAATAAGGTTGTTTTTTTTCTGTTTTTTTCCTTATTCTCAAATTACAATTCAAAAAAAGAAAGTCTCATCTAACAAAAGAATCAATGCTTTCGAGTTTTTCTTTACTCTTACGGTTCTTTTTAAAATCGAGTACATAAATGATCACTCAAAATATACTCATGCGTTTCTTTTTTTTTCTCAAAACGTTATTTGATCTTCTTTGTTATTTAACAATTGAGTTTCTTTGATGCTGCGGAAAAGAACAATCGACAGCTCTATAGAGATTTATTTTTAAGGGATTCTTTATAATTTGGTCGATATTCTTTCTGACGATACACGACAAAGTGAAATAAACATTACATCTAACGATGGACAAATAAGTAAATGGTTAGAACAAACATTTTCTTCAAAACCACAACGCTCGACAACAGCTGCTGCTCGTTTTGAATCAATTAAAGCTGTTATTCAAGCATCATCATTTGTTAATGCTTTACAAAGACAAGTACGTCAAAATGCTAAAGAACGTTTGTCAGTCGTACTTGATTTACCTGTTGATATATATAAATTAAATTTATGGTCATTTAATATGATGGAATATGAAGAACCATTCGTCTTTTCGATTCTACTTATATTTGATGCACATGATATCATATCACGCTATCGTATTGATATTGACACATTGAAAATTTTTTGTCGTGCTCTAACAGATGGTTATCAAAGTATGTAGAAATACAAGAAAACTTTTTGAAAAATGTGTCTATATAGAATATAAAACTCCTTATCATAATGATTTTCATGGAGCTGACGTACTTCAAACGACACATTGTTTATTAATAAAAAGTAGTTTAATGAATGTTTTTACGCAAATTGAAATAGCGGCCTTAGTAAGTTAAAATAAATTATTTATTGATCAATTTTTATTTTGTTGTTCTATTATTATTAGTTATTTTCAGCTGCAATTCATGATTACGAACATCCTGGTTTAAATAATGGTTATCTTGTTAAAACAAAAAATGATTTAGCTTTAATTTATAATGATTTTAGTGTATTAGGTAAAAGAAAGAAGAAAAAAACAGGAGAAAAAACAATATGATCTACGATGTCTTTTGTTTTTCATGTGAATACATGTCAAAATATTCTTTTAATATAATAGTCCGAATGATTTTTATGACATCTAATATAATTGAAAATGAATAGAATATACAAAATGTCTGTTCCTTTCACTCTATGACATTGATTGAAAAAAACGTAAATCAATAGAATTGGTTTTTGGGTTTAATTACTATGAAAAAAGCCATTGATTATAGATAAACTATGATTAAAGGTTTATTTTATTTGAAAAATCTTCCTTTAAATCGAAATTTTGTTGATCAAGATTAAAGCATATTTTATAAATGATAAGAATACAGAATGAATAAATCATTGATAGAGATCATCCTTTGTATCAATGTCATCTTTCGACAGATAGAAAAACTCGAAGAAACAAGAAATAAAATGATGCACCTGTTTGATATGATAAAAAAGCAATAAAAATGAAGTTAGATCTCTGAAATGTTCTAATTGATATTTAGTTCATCAAGAATTCATTAGCAATGATTTGACATCGAATTTCCTTATAATTTATTCTTCAACAAGAATGTCTACTTAAGGGGACACTTTCCATTTTCAGTATTGTTGAAGAACAAGTCGTTAGAATATTTCGAGAGCTTCAGGATAGATAGAACAAAAGTTATCATAGACTTTAAGTTCTGAGACACTTTCCTGTAGGAGATATTAAGATTGCAATAGCAAAAATATAACTTCATTTTTCTCAGTTATAATATGTCTGATAGGACTAGAAGTTATGTTTTAAAGATACTAGACATTGATTGGGTTCCTTACTTTTTTGTTTTCTGTTTATCTCATTCTGTTCGAATAAAAACATCAAAATATAGAGAATACCCTCAAAAAAGGCATGTGTTTTTTGTAAATTTTGATAGATCATATTTTAATACTTTCTAGTATAAGTAAATGAAAGTTTTAGCTCAATCTGATGTACTGTGCCTGAGAAATGGTGACAATTCTCTATTTTTTTCAAATAGCATAATGATATATTTTCAACAAAAATGTTTCATCTCTTCCGGTTTTCATATATCAATTTTTGGACGTATACTTAATACGTAGAGGATATTTCAAAGTGTATATAAAGTAGAAAAGGAAATTCAATGTGAAAAACCTAAAAATTTGTCGTTGGGAAAAGCCGGCTGTGTCCTTCATAGTTTTCAAGTTCTTTGAAGAACTACTGAATCTGTTAATAGAGAAAAGTAATATTTTCCACTAAATATTTTTCTCAATAATTCAACAGAAAAAAACAATTATCATGATAGGAGTCTTCAATCAACAAAAGAACTCATTCAAAATAAAAATAAAACATAATTCCGCTCATTTCCTTTTTAAACTTCATTGATCTAAGTTCTAATAGAAAACTAATTTGAATTTGTTTTTTTTTCTATATTAGAAAATCATCATGCAAGTTCAATATTCAAACTTTTACGTGATAAACGTTATAATATTTGGTCAAATATGGATACAAATGAATATCGTACATTTCGTTCCTTAGTTATATCACTTGTTTTGGCAACTGATATGGCAAATCATGCATCATTAGTTGAACGTATGTCGACATATTTCTTTTTTAAAGAAACAAATTCAACAACACCATCAGCCGATTCAAAAACTTTACTACAAACATTATTACATGCAGCTGATATATCAAATGCAGCTAAACCATGGCCAATTTATATTCAATCAGCTGAAAGAATTATGGAAGAATTTTTTATACAAGGTGATTTAGAAAAAATTCATTATGAAGATAATAAACCAACATTTGATAGAGAATCAACCAATATTGTACAATTACAAATTAGTTTTATAACACATATTGTTCATCCAACAGTTAGTTTAATTTTTATTTTTTGATTAAAATTATAAGATTTTTATTTTTTATTAGTTTGATGTTTTATCAAAAGTTCTTCAAATCGATTCTCTTGATTCTAGACAAAAAGAATCAACAGCAACAACAAATTTAAATAATTATACCTTACCATGGCAATATGATTTACAATTAAATTTAGAAACCTGGAAACAAATATCAAAAAATGGTGATCTAAAAAAAGTAATAGCAACTAAAAAACCATTAAAATTAAATCATAGTTATATACAAGAATATATTGAAAAAGCAAAAACAGTTTTAAGAAAACGTTCACAACATGATCTTTTACTTAATTGTACGCTTTCATCATGATGAGTTTTTTGTTTACAATTTTCTTTTTTTTTTATTTTCTAGTCATACATATCTTTTTTTTCTTTTTTGTTTTATTATAATTATTTTTTTTTCTAACAAAGAAGAAAAAAACAACAAGAATATATTTAATTGAAATTTTAAACAAAACACAATCAAATTGGAGTTATTTATTATCTAAATTAGATGGAAAAAAAAAGAACAACTATTACAGAAAGAAGTATATTTACCTTCTGTGATACTCATTTGTGTATTCTGATGTTTTCAGGCGAATCTAAAAAGCCAGTGAACTAATTTCTTTTAGTTAATGAGAGAAAAAATATTATTTTTATGCTACCTACTTTTTTTCTCTCTCTAGTCTAGAAGTCAACTATATCTTTGACGGTTTTTCTTCTATTTGCTCATTTTTATTTAAAAACTAGTGCATCATATAAATAACTTTTGCTCATTCGGAAAATATTCTACAAAACGATGAGTGTAAAAACAGTTAACTTACTTTCATGGTCCTCAACAATATTGCTTATATTTATACTGTGTTTTGTTAAACAAGTTCAAATCGTAAATATTAATATTGAAATCTATTTATTTTATTATTATTTTACATTTCTTTAGTCAAATGCCTATGCATATTGTCAATACTATAAACCAAATACACCATGGCCTTATTTCAAAGAGTTAAACATTCTCATATCTATTATTACTATTCGGTAATAACAATTATTTTTTGTTTTAGGTGTCCATTTACTTGTTGTCCAAAGTCAAGATCTATACGAGAAAATACAACTTGTTGTAATCCACCAACTGAAGAAACGGCAATAATCACAATATTTGGATATCGCTGGTGGACTGTGTAAATAATGTTGTTTTTACTGTCGACGTTTTTCTAAATTAATTTTGTTAATTTTAGTTTTCTTTGTGCTTCTTGTATTATTATTGCACTTATTTTATTAGCTAATATTAATAAGCGTCTGCATATTTTTAAAAATTTCAAAAACTTTAGTAAGTAACTAGTACTCAAAGTCTTTTTCTATACTTTTATTTTAATTTAGATTCAGCTGTTAATCCTGCATCACCATATACGATTTCTACAAATGATTCAAACAATAATGATGTATACAAATTCTCTACTAAAGATGATACAATTATTTTAGAACAACATCCGCCATGTTATAAAGATGTTGCTCCATCAGCCCAACCACCGTATGCGTCAGTAAATCCACCGACAAAAACAGACTTGGAATAAATATTGTTTTTTCCATATAATGTATGTGCACAAAAACAAAAGAAAAACAAGCATTCAAAGACAGACAGAAACGAGAAGATTATTGCAATGCCAAAAAGAGAAAAAAAAACGAGAGAGAGAGAGAGAGAGAATGGTGTGTATGTATGTGTTGTGTTGTGTTGTGTTGTGTTGTGTGTGTGTGTATAATATGATGAAATGCAATAATAAACAAGAAAAAAAAAAGATTTTTTTTTTAATTTTATCAGTTCATTGAGATTCAAATATGTGACTGTATTAAAATAGTTCAAGAATTAATTGGTGACGAAATATCTTCATCATCTTCGGAGTGTATTGATTGTGAACAACTATCAGGTTGTTCTTCATTTTGTATTGTATCATCTTCATCAACATTGGTTTGTTGTAAAGATGAATTTGTTGTTGATGTTGTTGTATGTGTTGATGAAACTGATGATGAACGACGTTGATTTATAATTGTATTATTTGTTTGACAATTATTTGTATTTGTTGGTAATAAACGTTGAAATAAATCCATAGTATGTTGTTGATGAAATGCAGCAGCCACAGCTGCTGCTGTTGCTGCTGCATTTGTTATTAATTGTGTTGGATTTGATGATGTTGATGATTGTATTGGATAATCATTTAATGATGTATCATCATCACCAGATAAATCTTCTAATGGTAAACCACGTTCATGTTTTGTTAAATGACGTTCAAGATTAATTTGTTGAGCAAAACGACGATCACATAAATGACATGGAAATTTTTTTTCTCGATTATGAATATTTCGAATATGACGTTGAAGATTAGATGATATTGAAAATGATCGTTCACAATATTTGCAACGATATGGCTAAAGAAAATAATAAAAATTAATTTTTTTTAATCGTTCTATAACATAAAAACAAAAGCAAAAAAAGAATTTACTTGTTCGCCTGTATGTGTTCGTAAATGTCGTGTTAAATTAGCTGAACGTGGAAAAACTTTTCCACAATAAGAACATGTATATTTATCTTTATTATTTAAACGAGTATTAAAATATTGTAATTTATTTGCTGTTTGATGTTGTTGCCAATTATCCATGGAATTATTAATATTATTTGTTGATATTGGTGTTGTTGTTGTTGATGTTTGAGGATATGATGATATAGTTGTTGATTGTTGATGATAAAATGTATTTAAATGTTTAATCATATCAAATTTAAAATTTGATTTTGTATTTTTAACATGATTTAATAATGAATCAACATCATATTTAGTTGTTGTTGAAAATTTTTGTTGATTTGTTTCATTTTGTATTATTGAAGGAGATTTAATATCACGTTCAGGTGATGAAGATTTTGATGTTATGGGTGATTGATCATAACGAGATTTTTTAACACTTAAATCAAGTGGTATATCATCATTATTAAAACGTTTTATTATTTGTTCTTGTTTTGGACTAGTTGATATAGGTGTTGTTGATGAATTTGTTTTTTCTTCAATTGAATTAACTGGTGATAAATCATTTGTATTTGTTGTTGTTGTTGATGATGAAAATGGATGAGAAAAAAATGGTGATAATGTACCATTGAGAAATGGATTTATTGTTGCTAAACGTGGTAAATAAGGAAGAAGTGAATATGGAAAATTTGAATTCCATAACCAATTATTCATTTGTTCCTTGTTTAAAGACATTGTTGGAAGAGTTGTTGGTTGAGGTGGTACTGGAGGTTGAGGGGGCGCTGCTTGTGTTGGAATTGATAAAGGTGATTTTGAAGACGTATGATTAAATGAAGTTATATCTCCACAAAAACGTCTATACAAGAAAAAAAGAAAACATTAAGTATTAATAAAAAATCGAATGATTAAAACAATTTCTTTTACCGATGTTTATTAAGTGCAGCACTGTTCGAAAATGTTTGTCCACAAAATCTACATTTAACTTGTGTACGACAATCAGCATGCATTCGTTTATGTCGACAAAGATTTGAAAATTGTGTATATGATTTAAAACAAACTTCACATTGAAATGGTTTTATTGATGAATGTATATGCATATGTTGTTTTAAACCACTTGTTGTAGCAAAAGATTTTCCACATTCTCGACAAGGATGATGATGATTATTTACTGAATTTGTATTTTGATTTGAATTTTCTAATTCAGAATCGGAATTTGAATATTGAATACTTGGTGTATTATCGTCGTATGTTGGTGAAACCTAACAGATATTAAATTATTATGATTGAACATTTTAAAAGAAAAATAAAATGAAATAAAACTAAAACTACTGATATAACTATATATGTTTACTTGTCTTCGAACTTATTCTTCTTCTCTATTGTGTCGGTGCTACTTGTCAAATTCAATCATCGATGTTAGAACGGATGTGATAAAGACGATGCCGATGCCGATAGTCAACAATCAGCTCAGCTCAACTCACTCATTCAATAAGAATAACATGAAAAGAATCTAAAATTAACTGAACAATCGCATTCTCTCTCTCTCTATCGTCTTTTATATATACATATATATATATATGTGTATGATTCCATCACGGAGGGACGGCGTCCCGTGTGTAATTATGTTTTTTCGTCCGTGCGTCGTATACACACAGGTGAGACGCAAACGAGCATCAGGCGATATCGGCAACAAACAAAACAGATTCTTTATTAGTTTTCTCTTGATACATATTGCTCATTGTCACACACTTCTTCGCAAATTCTGACAAGACACTCGAAATTTCGATGACAATATATATATATATAAATGTATATAACATAAAAACGATGTAGGCGATAATCGGAGAGTAAAGGTGTGAAAGGCGGTCAGTTAGCTATTGTCAATCAACTCGTCTTCATTCACACCTCATTTTCAGAGCAAAGTAATTATCACTGAGTTTTTATGTATGAGCGTCTTGAAAACATGATGAGTCAAGTAGGACCACCTCGGGTGAGAGAACACATAAATTCGTGTTAATCCGCCTTCTTATTCAATAATAAAATCTAACAAATATGTTTTTATTATTTTTTTCTCATAAAACAAAATCTTTGTTTTGCTCAATGATTTAATTTTTAGCCAAAGGCCAATTTTCATTGTTCAATGTTCAGTCATTTTCATCTTTTCTTTTTTTCTAAAGGTTGTCCAATATCAAACAAATGATATGTGATGCGATGGACAATTTAAATTCTTTTTTTTTGCGCCAGAAAACAGACTTTTATGAACATCGGATATTTTTTCAAATGATGATAATGCAAATATATAGATTGACTTCGTGCGGCACTGTTCAAAAGCATGTATATATATATATGTACACACCTCTGTGCCGTAAGGGTCAATGACCTGACTCGTCCGAGAATATCAAAAAAAAAACAACACACAACGAATATGTCCAACCATCAAAGTCAACATATTGGTAGTTAGGATGATATTCGACACTTGAAATGGTGGTTGGTCACTCGATCAAAATGTAATAATCCATCCATACACCTTTTCTTTATATAGAAATGTATTGTTAAAATCGATCAATCACTCTTTTTCTTTTTTTTACTAACTTATATATATATATATATAAATACACACGACACTCATTTTTCATTTGGTTCGAATCGATGAGCAGGAGGAGCTCTTGTCGTCGCATGGTACTATGCAGACGATTAATCGAAGAATTTTTTTTTTCGAGTAATAACAATCATACTATACACACGCATGAGATGAAAAACGGGAACTCTCTCATTCATATTTGATCACCATTAGTGTCAACTCACTCAATACGTGGGATGTCAATAAAAAAAAAAAAAAAAAAAAAGAAGAAGGAGAAGGACGGAACACGAACATACTATAATTTCTATCCAATTGAAATAAAATAAAAATATTCCATACCTGCATCATGTATATTTATTAATCCATCTGTCAGAAAAAGATAACCATCTTTGTTCAAAATGACTATGTTACAAATGAAATATAGACACTTCTTTCTTTGGTATATATAAGACATTTTTTTTTCCTAGTTCATTCTAATTTCTATTGGTTATATTGGTAAATCCGCTGATAATTGTCTCGTGTTCTATTGTCGACAAGACAAGCTTTTAAAAGATTTTTTCTTCGTATATGTCCACCCCTTCTTCATCAAACATGCAAACGGGTTTTCTCCTGTTTTTTCTTTTTTAATGATAAAACTTCTTTTTTTTGTTTTATTCTAATGTACTTACTTTATTTGCATTCCAAATTGTATGTGTATCAGCACTTTCTTGATCTTTAGTCACTTCGTCTTGTTGTTGATCATGGGGATAAATACTAAAAAAAATATTCTTGTATCATCTTATTTGATCTATGTGTGTATTGTATAATTAAAACCAAATGAAAAACATTTCTTTAGAAAAATGGGATAAGGAGAGAATACGATCGAAAGTTTTCTTTCTTTTATTTTTTTTGCTTCTTCTCACTATCGCATTCGTCCAATGACATGGATTCTCAATCGAATACAAAACGACATTTTCTTTGTTTTTTGTCTATTGTATTTTCAAACGTAAAACAGATGTTGCTACTGGTTTTCTTTTCGCATTTATGAAGAAGAAAAAGAAGACGAACTTTGATGTGTCAAAAATGTGTCTCATTCCATATGTTTTTTTTTTGAAAGTAAAAAAAAAAGAAAAAGAAGATGTTCAAACACGCTATGAACTAGACCAGTAAATTATCGAACACGACAGTAACGATCTACGCATCATAGACTATATATTCTCTTATCATATCTTTTCAAAATGAACTTCAGGTTATTAAACAAAAAGGCATAAATCTTTTTAACGTATAGGTAGTCATGTTTATCGAACTAGTTCTCATCCACATACATACACACAGCTCATTAGTATTGAACTCTTCGGGACGGGTTTTTCAAAGCAAAGATATCAACATGTCAGCATATGTGCTCACATAAGTGAACGACAGATAATGATAAAGTGTGTTTGGTGTCTCTCTCTCTCTTTCTCTATGTTTGTCGATCAATTTGTTTGAATCGGGTGCGCAC